ATAATATAAGACCTGAATGTTTGTCCTGTTCCATCTCCAACTCCAAGTCTAAATGATCCACTGGAAGTAATCTCTACAAGCCGAGGACCCTGTTCATTTAGCCGCATACCACCCTGTAGTAAAGGGATTGTTTAGTCTCATACCACCCTGTATTAAAGGGATTGTTTAGCCGCATACCACCCTGTAAAAACCGAATTTTTTAGCTGCATACCACCCTATATTAAAAGAATTGTTTAGCTGCATACCACCCTGTATTAAAGGGATTGTTTATCTCCATACCAATTAAAGGAAATTTTGACTTTAATTTCAATATTTAAAATGGTTTACACCTGTTCCACAACAGTACTCCTTTAACCTTTATCTGAGGAATACATTGTCGTTTTACATCTTGCAAATGGTCTTTCCTCGTTCTTGAATTCTCAAGACACGAGCAAATAGAAACCGGAACGTTCAGATAAAGAGCACTGATGTAAATCTGACATGTGACTTTTTCCAAACTTAAGAATTTAGTATTCCGAGTTTATGTTTAATATTTGCGAACTAGTGAACTAGTGATAAATTAGGAATGTTTCATTATAATGTATATTAATATTAATATTAATTGGACTGTAAATGTTATTTTAATTATCCCTTCATATATGAAGTTATATTCTTCTTTGTTCTGGTAAAAATTGATTATTTCCAAATGGTGATTTCACTTTAAAATTGACTTACTAAAATGCCAATTTTAAGATGAAGGGTCACTTGAAATTACGAAGACATTTCCTTCACCCCCGAGTAAACCTGGGGAATACCAGGTGGGGGAATACCAGAACCCCTAATTTACCTTGGGAATAATCTGCAGATAGAGAACTAAGAACCTGGTTTACCTTGGGAATAATGTGCCAGGTGGGGGAACTAAGAACCCTTGGTCTACCTGTGGAATAATCTGCCAGGTGCGGGAACTAAAAACCCCTGGTTTACCTGGGGAATAATCTGCCAGGTGGGGGAACTCTGAACCCAGGCTGGAAACTCACAGTTCTCTTCTAGCCTTATAGTTTTTTCTAGCACAAGGTTCCTGAAATCATTGATACTTCAGTTATAATTGCTGGAAACATTATTGCTATAAATGTAGGTATTAGAAAAGCAACAAAGTTTGTTTTTAGGCAATTAAACTAAAGCGTAAGCAAGGGTGAAGGAGAATTGATAGTTTAATTTATATTTGGATGCCTTTGATGAACTTAAGAATTTGTTTTTTTCTTCGTAATTTAAACAAAACACATTGTTCTGAATCTTTATTCATTCAATTAATTATTTAAAGGGGCTGTAAGCGTCATTTTAACTGACCCTCCATGCAAAGATGGCAAGACCCGAAGACTTTGCTAATTAGCAGTCTTTGGCATGACCAATTAAGAACCCTTGAAACCTTAATCTGATGGAAGAGAAATTGGGTTTTCTGAGTCAAAAATCGTTTGATTCTCTGATAATTTCTCCATGGTTTCTTATAAGCATCAAATGTGCAAGTCACTTTTGAAGAAAAACTATAATGAATAGTATACCCCACAAAAGTCTTGTAGGTGGGAAGGTATCTAAATGCATAACTATCACAACTAGCACAACTAAAGATACTATTATTATTGTATATTTTATTCCAATCGATAAAAATCATTGCCGAATTTAAGTGTATGTGAACCCCGCTAGATGGTATGCTGGACTGAAGTATATTCTCCAACCTCTTCTTTATAAGTACAGTTAAGATATTCTTCCTGGTTTAACTAGGTTCCTGCATCATCTACGCATTATTGAACTTGGTTCATACATGGCATATTTTTCTTCTTCTTCTTCTTCTTCTTCTTCTTCTTAGCTGGATCTGCTTCATTTTGTTCTGAGGTAGGGTTCATCCTTTTTTAGACAAGGGATTTCCAAGCATACTCTCAGATCAGATCACGATGTAAACCCAAATCTCTTCAACTCCTTTCTGAACCTCTTTCAAGATCTTTGCTTATGTTCAGGGATATGGTTCATTTTTATCTTTGAACTTTCCTTTTCTTAATGAAAGGTTTTCCAATCCCAGATTCCATCAACTCATGATCTGAAATCCATCCTTCTCAGACAGTATATGTCACATCCTGGATACCACCTTATGTTCTGTGATATGGTTCATTATACATGATCTATTTACTTGCCTTTTCTTAATAAAAGGTTTTCAATCCCAGATTACATCAACTCATGATCTAAAAATTCATCCTTAGGTCTTGTTATGTCTTCTCCAGTTCTGCATATTGGTTTCTGAAAGGAACTCCGGTTTTCTTTTTTCATATTCCAATATCTGTTGTGCTACAGTATATTTACTATGTTGTAACTAGTCAGCTGCAAATAAAGTCCCCAATCTGTTGTTTTTGTATCTCGTAAATCATTCTGGTAGGTGGGAATGCATAACTAGCACAACTAGCACAACTAAAGATACTATTATACTGTATATTTTATTCCAATTGATTAAAAACATTGCCGAATATAAAGTGTATGTGAACCCCGCTAGATGGTATGCGGGACTGAAGTATATTCTCCAACCTCTTCTTTAAGTACAGTAAAGAAATTCTTCCTGGTTTAACTCGGTTCCTGCATCATCTACACATTATTGAACTTGGTTCATACAATAGACAAACATGATATCTAATTCATGCTTTATCAGACAACGGTTTTAAGTGTACTGTCTGTTGTAAATCGGACATTGTGATCTTTGAATATACAGATCCTTTAATGTCTTGATTAAATATTCTTACTTAATTGGTTAAGTTCCAATTCAGAAATTAGTCATATGCTTATATTGTAAAGGTTATGTTGGCTAAAAATGTTTTGGAAGAGAGATTGATTCAATAAATCACTAGATATGAAGATTATTATTCCAGCCAGAATTAGCAATTGAAGTGATATATTTAGATGGAACTTTTATTTGTTGTATTATTCTTATTTATAAATAAGAATCAAAAATAGTTTAATCAGCAGTGGGAACCAACGAATAATAAAGTTATTTCTCTTTTCCTGTTGAGGAACCAAACCTTGAATTTAAGTGAATCATAAACTTTTCAAAAACACTTATTTGGGTAAGGGACGCCTCTCATTTTTATGAGTAATGTTTTATGGCATATCACAATTAAATATTAGTCTTACCCAGGGGCCTAAATGAATTTGTGAGGTGGAACTGAATGGCTGTAGGTGTAGTAAACTGAATCGCCACTTGGAACATTAGGTGTTACTTATTATAGGGGGCGCTCAGCCATTCCACCTGTTTACGGCCTTAGTCTTACCTTAGACCGTTCCTTGGTGAGAGTTCCCCTCCAAATCCATCACAGCCTGCTCCAAACCCCTGAATAAATACAGTACACTCATATATATAACTGGTTTTCTATCTATCCTAGTCCAAACCCCTAAATGTATACAGTATTCTCATATAACTGGTTTTCCATCTATCCTGCTCCAAACCCCTGATTATATACATTACTGTCATATAACTGGTTTTCCATCTATCCAGGTTCAAAGCCTTGAATATATACCGTACTCTCATATAACTGGTTTTCTATCCTGGTCCAAACCCCTGAATATATACACTACTCTCATATAACTGGTTTTCCATCTATCCTGGTCCAAACCCCTGAATATATACACTACTCTCATATAACTGGTTTTCCATCTATCCTGGTCCAAACCCCTGAATATATACACTACTCTCATATAACTGGTTTTCCATCTATCCTGGTCCAAACCCCTGAATATATACAGTATTCTCATATCACTGGTTTTCCATCTATCCTGGTCCAAACCCCTGAATATATACAGTACTCTAAAATAACTGGTTTTCTATCTATCCTGGTCCAAACCCCTGAATATATACATTACACTCATATAACTGGTTTTCTATCTATCCTGGTCCAAACCCCTAAATATATGCACTACTCTTTGTACCTGTGATAAATAAATCTTTAGTCCATCAGTTTCTAATGCCATGCATACATATTGGTGCTCAGCATTTCTGAAAATTATTAAAATACTTTTATATAATATTCTTTAAAAAGATTGATCGGGTCTATCCTAGAGAATGCAGCACACTGAAGAGAATGAATACAATTGTATCTAACTGGTGCTGCGATAAGTATTTAAAACAGCCGTTGATCGAGAGTTGAAAATAGAGTTTCAGGCAAGTAATTATTTCCTTTTTTAAGCATTACAATTAAATGGAAGAAAAGAAATCTCAAAAAATAACAACTGTATAAAGGTTACACCTTTATTCAAGCTTTTACTGGGAATTTGTTCCGCAAAATTGCGCAAAACAGAATAGCGCAAAAGTGGAATAGTGCAATTTTGCGAAAATTGACAAAGTGCTAATTTTTTCGCGCAAAAATGTAGAGCAACGAAAGCAAAAATTTGTGCGTGCTTTCGCAAAAATTGTGCAAAAGTTTTGAGAATGGAAACCCTAGAATGGAAAATAGATTATCAAGTACAATAGGTGGCAACAGAGAAATGGATTAATTAACACAACGTCACAAGTGTCAAATTTAACCAAAAAATCGATAACACTTAAAATTGCACTTATTTTACTGTAAGATAAGCACTTTATTCTTAAATTATCACTGTGATTAATAATTTTGTCGGACACAATACTGAGTTGACACTTGCGATGTAAGAATACAGCTGTACTGAGAGTGTACAAATACTACGTTGTCATCTATTGTACTTAACATTATATTTGTAGACTGGTGCTTCGATGAGTAAGAAGCATATTTAAAACAGTTGTTGATCGGGGGCTGGGCCAAGGGTCCAATACTTTCATTCAAAATAACATACATTGCGTCCTTGGCAAAAGCATCTGTTTTCATGTGAATTTTATAATTACAGTGAGAACCAGCAAACTGATGAATATGAAGACGACATTATAAAATTACTTACGAGTATTATTGTTATTACTTGTAACTTATTTAATCATTTATTAAGTTAATGGGGTTTGATAGCACTAAAAAATTGCTGTATTTCATTTTCATTGTACTATTTAAAGTAAAAACTTGAGTCTATAGGTCGTCTTATTATTCCAGTGTTTACTGGTTCTCAATATATATTTTGTATAATTTGGCATTTAGCATTTACACAAGGTGTAACTTTTAAATTGAGTATTCATACATTTAAAAAAAGATATTTATTCGCGAAAATAATTGAAGCGAAAATGAAGCAAAATTTTGCGAAAATGCGAAAATTTTGCAAAAATGCAAAATACAAAAATATTTTTATTTATATACAATGTAATTGAGCTAATCATTTTACGTAGTTATTTACAGCGCAGTTAACATAATTCATGATATGCGTTTTACATAGCTATTCAATGTAAGTGTTTTAGGCCATCTTTACAGGCTCATTCTTTGTGGGTAATCCTTTATTACCTGTAATCCCCGGGTTCCCAAAACTCCCAGATTTCTCCAGTTCCAATGATGTAAGTCACACCGGAGGGGGTAACCCAATTTCTAATATGAGATACCAAATTGGGTCTCGTCTTTGATTTCCACGGAATGATGGTTGATCTTTTATTTATTTATTTATTTATTTATCAAACATTAACGAAACTGTAGACAAAATTTCAAGTGACAAATGGAAATACTCTTGAAATTACACCTATTATTTTATGGGCGGATTTTTGTTAACCAATAGTTTCTGGAAACCAATATTTTGGTAACTAACAATTTGGTAACTTGAAAATTTGGTAAATTGACAATCGACAATTTGGTAACCAACAGTTTATTTTTGTAACCTAAGAATTTGGTAAATAACAATTTAGAAACTTGCATTTTTGGTAAGCTCACAATTGTGTAATTAATAACTTGGTAACTTTTATTGTATATTTTAATATAATTACCCAATACATTTCATTGTCTGGGTCATTGCTGTTCTATGAACCAGTACTCCTTCAGGGCAGTTTCCTAAAAATACGGGTTTGGAGTAAATACAAATTGTCACAAAAAGACAACATTTATTCCTATCTTTATTAGACCAATAAAAAGCGTATTTTTTGGGTAAACGCTCTGTTGCCCCATTTTTATATTAGGAAAGTCTTTGGGGTAACTTTTGGAAATAAACTTTTCATAGACAAATAATAGACAGAGAGAAATTTTAATCAAGAAGACAATTTAAATACAGAGTGGAATTTTCATGGTCATGACACTTAGTAGATAGACATGAATTTTCCTGGACATTACATTTAATACTAGATGAATTTTCATAGGCAGGACCAATAAAAGACAGAGAGGAATTTTCATAGGCAGGACCAATAAAAGACAGAGAGGAGTTTTCATAGGCAGGACCAATAAAAGACAGAGAGGAATTTTCATAGGCAGGACCGATAAAAGACAGAGAGGAATTTTCATAAGCAGGACCAGTAAAAGGTAGAGATGAATTTTCATAGGCAGGACCAACAAAAGACAGAAAGGAATTTTCATACGCAGGACCAATAAAAGCCAGACAGGAATTTTCATAGGCAGGACCAATAAAAGACAGAGAGGAATTTTCATATAGTCAGGACCAATAAAAGACAGAAAGGAATTTTCATAGGCAGGACCAATAAAAGACAGAAAGGATTTTCATAGGCAGGACCAATAAAAGACAGAGAGGAATTTTCATAGGCAGGACCAATAAAAGACAGAGAGGAGTTTTCATAGGCAGGACCAATAAAAGACAGAGAGGAGTTTTCATAGGCAGGACCAATAAAAGACAGAGAGGAATTTTCATTGGCAGGACCGATAAAAGACAGAGAGGAATTTTCATAAGCAGGACCAATAAAAGACAGAAAGGATTTTCATTGGCAGGACCAATAAAAGCCAGACAGGAATTTTCATAGGCAGGACCAATAAAAGACAGAGAGGAATTTTCATAGGCAGGACAAATAAAAGACAGAAAGGAATTTTCATAGGCAGGACCAATAAAAGACAGAAAGGATTTTCATAGGCAGGACCAATAAAAGACAGACAGGAATTTTCATAGGCAGGACCAATAAAAGACAGTTAGGAATTTTCATAAGCAGGACCAATAAAAGACAGAAAGGATTTTCATAAGCAGGACCAATAAAAGACAGACAGGAATTTTCATAGGCAGGACCAATAAAAGACAGAAAGGAATTTTCATAGGCAGGACAAATAAAAGACAGAAAGGAATTTTCATAGGCAAGACCAAAAAAAGACAGAAAGGAAGTTTTAAAGATTTTTTAAATTATCAAAGATTTTATACGTTAACAGTCAAAGGTTTAAAGGGTACCATTGTAAATCAGAACTTGCCATCTTTGATTGTAGGGTAATTTGAAATTATGCTTACAGCCCGTTAACACTGTGTAAACAAATTCAAATCTTGGTATCCCTTAACCTTACCAAAGTTGAGAGAAAGTTGGGGGTCGTCTTCATTTCGTTGATTACAATGGTTGATCTCAGACCTAGGTTCTCCACACCCCTGCACCACAAGAAAAATGTAAACATCAAAATATTATATTAGTGAATATTAACCACAAATATTTGTAATCAATCAAGTGCTTAATCTTATTCCTTATTCAAGAAGAATTGGTCTGAGGCTGTTGAAATTTTCTGACTTTTCCTACATACCCAAAGCCCTCACTTTCGGCCTAAAACCGGGCTTTAATACTAACTGCCTGAGTCATCAGGCACACTGCCTGAATGACTGCTTTTTCCTGTAACAAACTAAGTCTTTGTTTTGACCCACTTCCACTTGTCAGATTTTGATGAAATTTAGCTTTTTGGAAAGCCTTGGACATAAGGAAACGAATTGCACAAGTTTTGCGAAAAAAAATTGCAATTATTTTTTGCATATTTGAAATGGCATGGTCAAGGGCTTTTCAGAAATGTATAACTTTTCATTTTTTGGAAAAATTTTTTTTTGCAAACATTTTTACTATATAGCTAGATTTTGCAATAAAAAAATTCAATTTTGGCAAACAACTTAACAAATTAGTGAAGATCGACATTTAAAACTATTCATTAACTTTTGTGTTTCATGGAACACCCTGTATGTAAATGTTTGATTTGTCAGTGTTTTCACAGTGTAAAAAGTTTATTCTTTATGAGTATCAACTTGATAGATAATTCATTTGGTCCTTAGATCATCATTTTAGCTATTTTTTAAAGTTTTAATTAACCAAGGAATGGGCCTTTTAAAGCCAGGGCATATGTCCTATTTACCAAAGTTCGTAATTTAAGCATAATTATTATTTTAGTTTTGACAAACCTAAGTGCATGTGAACCTTCCAATAGATACCCTTCTGTTACGCGACTACGCGCTATATATGTAAAAAGAACCTTGTGGTATTTTGCGTTGGTTTGTCGTAACTCTCATCCGCTCTCTTCATGATGAATAATCAAGGTTGAACTCAGGATTTATTGAAACAGCAGGAAAATTCAACTAAAAAACATAACCTTGAGTTCTTTTATATTTCACTACAGGAAAAAGCCCTCAGAACAAGACAAAATATACAATCAAAGAATAAATATAATCAATGCACAAAACTATCTCAATAGGGCATAAAAAACCTGTAGATTCTAATATATTCTAAATAATTTTAATAAATGTATCGTAAAAAAAGAAGATCATACCAGGTTGAGCCTCCACAAAATATCACAAATGATCAAAAAACATTGGCAAATGACGCCATGAAATCAAACGACCAACTGGTCTAAAACCCGCGTGGTATGAATACTGAGAATATAAACACAAAATAAAAACTAGTTTCTCCCGGCTTTCTTCTTCGGCCGGTCTTGAATACACAGTACGAATCTCAGGGGCGCTGCAGCAGTATGAGGGAACAGTACTCAGGGGTGAACTATCCTCTTCTATATACGAGACCCTTGGTCGCGTAACACTCCCCGCCAAAGAGAAAAAAGGAAAAAAGTTCAGTTGCACCCCGCGACCGGCTCACACAACTCATAGTTTATCAGCATTAAACCTGAAAAAAAAAAAATCACTAGGACCAACCCCCTCATAGGAGGCTACCACAAGCGTTTATATCACTTAAACCTCAATCTCCTCCACCTCCTTGGGAACTTCAAACTCAAAATCCAGATCATCATAAGCTAACTTGTCACTCCCCTCGATGAGTTCATCATAGGTCCTCACTCTCACGTTCCTGGACACTTTCGGAGCACTGGTCAATCTCTTCTTCTTGGGAGCCGGGCCCTGAACCTCCAACTCCATAGACTCCACAGGTAACCCTGAGCTCAGAGCTGAGCCACCAGCCTCATCCTCCAGATCACCCTCATTAAGGATGACAACATCCTCCATCTCTTCCTCCTGGTGAAGCCCGTCATCCTGGTCCACGAACCCACTCCTTGCTCCAGGAACTCCTGGATCAGGCTGGGACGCAGACGAGACTGACGCTGCAACACCAACCGGACCAACTCTCGCAAGACTTCTCAAGTTCGTACTTCTCACCTTCTCAGCTCCAACCTTAGACCGGACCACACTCCTTGCTCTCTTCCTACCACCTCTAGGTTTCCAACCAGGTAGAACAGGAACCTCCACAGTCCACCTAGTCCTCTCCTTAAAAGTCCAATCTTTACTCAGCCCAGTTAAGTACTCCACTCTCAGCTCTCTAACTCCAACCACAGTCCTAGCTCTCTCCAACCCTGTCATCTCCACCTCCAGCGACTTCTTCACAGCATTGCACAGCTGGACTTCGACCTTCTTGACTCTAGGAGCATTCTCATCACATATCCTCCTATAGCACAACCTCATTGCATCATACATGTTAGCATAATGAGTTTGGAACCATGGGTCTCGGATCATCCTCGCGAAGAAACTTCTTAACCGATCAGGATTCATCCTGGCCCATTCTAACAAAGACCATCTCTGACACCGACCTATCTCAGTGCACCTTCTCCCGATCTCACAAGGTTTAGTGGAACTAATATCAAACTCCAACAAGGGAACGCTCACTCCTTCAGGACGAATCATTCTCCAAGTCTCTGATACAGCTCCTCTCCAGGTCTGATCTCCGATCTCTCCCAAAGATAATCCAAACCTTGAATACTCCCAATCATCATCCCTGAGATCTCTTAAAACCCGACCATCAGACCACCTGATCTGAGCTCTAGTAAGCACCTGGATCTGGGTTAAGAACCACTCTCTGCATTGAATCATAAACCTGCATCCTCCGAACGTAACTGATGGCCACGAACCTAGGAGTTCCAACCATAGCTTTACAAAGGGCGGAGATGCATCACACAGCTTCCCTCTATCATCCCTGAACCGTAGGGATTTGATCATCTCCTCCCTCGTCAGAGCCAAATCCTCCGTCATCTGATGGTAACTCACTCCTTCCAGAGTCTGCAGGACGAACTCCAAGAACCAGTTTACTGCAGTTACTTGATTACATTCCAAAAACCTGCACACTACATCAGGATCAGGAAACACATCTCTCAAGAGCAAGCCAGCCAATACATTGTAGGTCACAAACCCAAACTTGATGTCTCCCAACGCATAACATTGTAGGGCATCTGGGATTCTACTCCATCTCAAACCCCACAGATTATCACCCGTCGACACAGTCTTGTTCAGCAACGTTCCCATGACTTGCACCCCCATGGCTGTCATGTTCTTGGAGTGGAACTTGTAACCGGCTAGAATCGCCAAAGTAGTGAGATCCAAACAACCTCGCTCCAGACTAACATCCTCACCAGAAATCAAAGAATAAAACTCCTCTATTCCCTGTAAATCTCTCCGAACCGCAAGTCCGGCAGCAACAGGGAGGTCACGGAGTAAATCTAAGATCTCAGGCTGAACCTCCATTCTTCTCACAATATATCTAAATCTCTCATCCCGCTCCAGATCCAAAGATATAAGACAAGTCCATGTAATGCCATTCCCAAACATAATTTTACCAGGGATTGGNTGGAGCCTGCCCCCCAGGGATCTGAATCTTCCCCGCCATCCTTAGATTATCATAGAATGTAGCCTTAACATCTTCAACATCCAGAGAAATCACCTGAGTCCCAAACTTCTCCTGGTCCAAGGCATGCATCCTCTCAATCCAACGAGCCACGTCCAGGATCTCCTCCTTCGTGCTTCTACCGCAGACCAACTCCTTCACCTCCACCTGCTTCAACATCTCCAGACTCAGACCTCTATTGGCCTGATAATACTCCAACTCCTCCATTCTGGGATACTTCCATCCTATCACATTCTTAGAGCTCTCCACCAAGTAATCCAGCAAGGGAACGTCGACAGGGAGAAACTGATCCCTCCTGAGCATGCTAGGTTGATCCAATCCGTCCCTGGACACACGAGACAAGTACTTTTTCATACAAGCATTATCATTCCCAGTATTGATCCTGGGTTTGAACTTGACCATCTCTCCGATCATATCCACCGTTCCCAACTCTTTTCTCCCCCCAGGCCTTCTCTCCTATCTGGGGAATCAACATTCTCATAGACTCATCGTACTGCTTGGCTCTCTCCCCCTCTATCCTTCTCTTGATTCTCCTCACAAAGTCTTCCGTAGATAGAGTTCTAAAAAAACACAAATTAATCCTCCATACAAAAATCTCCGCTACTTCTTGTAAATCTCTCCGGACTATTAGTCCGGCAGATCCAAGAAGATCAAAGAGAACAAATAAACTCAAGGCGTGGCTTTTATCCCCCAAAGATGCATCAGCGGTTGCAATTGAATCAAAATCATTTTCAACGATAGTAACCCCCCCACATACAAGGAAAACTTTAGACATCAGTACTGATAAAGCCAGGGCAGGATTACTCCCCCTGAGTATTAGATAACTTGGAACACTCATCAAAAAGATCTCTAGTGTTAATAGACATTTCTCCGACAGAATATACAATACTGATGTCTCTCAGACTCCTTACTAAAGTTTGCTCAACCCCCTTAAACTTCCCAGTGTATTTCAAAGACACTTTTGTCCCCAAAACTTCCACAACTCTCCCAAGCCTCCAGTGAATAGACTCCTTTGCATGATTACTATTGTTATAAACAAAAATGACAAGATCATCAATAATAGGCAACCGGCTTGATTTCAACCATTTGTTTGGACGTAAATTCAGAAGATGGACATTTTCCATGAAAGACTGATACCATTGCTGATAAATGGATCGATTCCTATCCAAGATCTTAGTAAAATTGCCCGCCATATCCAGAGTAAACCCATTACCCTCCAATGATCTATAATTATTCCTCCCCAATTTCAATCTGTTGGGTGTAATAACCTCATAACCTAACGTAGTTTCATTAGACCGGTCCCCTCTCGCAATCGGAAGATTATCAATTGAATTCGATATTCTGGAGAATAGAGTTTCCCATTGCAAAGCTGTCATTGGAACTGTGGTTTCAACTCCTAACTTCTCCATGGTGTCTCTCAGAACTCTGATCCTCCGCTCCACTCGACCTCTCTCTGAGTGGGCTTTAGCATTGGAGATAATTATTTTGATACCTAGATTATCCTGGACCTGAGAATCTAAATCTCTGACAGAGAACTTGGCATGTTGCATAGCCTTTAGCTGAGTTCCGTTATCCACGTAGACAAAACCAGGAACTCCATATCTGCAAGAATGCCTCTCCAACCCCGCACAGACATCCTGAGTCTCAATACCCTCCAGTGCCATGATATTTGTAGCCCCGGACAATAGGCATACAATGACCAGCCCATATACCTTAATGACAGTTCTGGACCTCTTGAACTCTTGCCCTTTAAACCCATAACAAATATCCATCATACAAGAATGGAAACATGGTGCGAGCACTGTTCTGGCCTCTGGATGATTAGCAAGCCTCAATTCCAAGGTTTTCTTTTCTAAAAGACGACATTTCATACAATCTTGGATAACCTTCCTTACTAATCTCCTCAACCCTCTAACTACTCTCATTTTCTTAAACACCTCTCTTACTGTAGTTTCCAGTGATGCATGGGCGATGGTTTTGGTGTGTAAGAACATCAAGTATGAGTATAAGACTGGAGAATCTGGCAGCACTACAAGAATCCGTCCTACTATTTCATGCTTGTCCAGGTATCCTACTTTATCCAGATCTTGAGTTTTAAATTGAAATTCTGGGGAGAGTCTTCCTTCATCATAGATAATCTTATCCTGATGTACAAACTTTTTCAGCTCTGATGGTTTAAGTGTTCTTCTAACTCTCTCAGACTCCCACCTGAAGAAGTAATCCTCAGCTTTCTTATCTTCATTTCTTGGGTCCCATCGGTGTTCTCCTAGGTTGCAAAGGTTACAATCTTTAACCGGAATCAAGTGTTTTCTATGACAGTATTTTGTTCTCCACCCTTGCATGTATCCTGTAATTCTTAAAGCTCTTCTCCAACCCTCGAACACAGGGTCAATTAACAGCTCTGCCACACCCCTGCCCGCGTTAGCCGCAAGAACCGAGAACTCCAGATCATCACCATGGTCCCCTTCATCACCCCCATACTCTTCATCAAGTCCCTCATCCTCAACATCAGGTATTTTAGACGAGGAAAATTTCCCCATGAATGAATCGGGAAAGCACTCTCCTTTCACACTCTCGTCTGTAGCTTTGTCCAAGGTCAACATGTCATATGAAGTTAATGGCATCTCAGATTTGTCCCTTCTCATCCACTCCAATCCTTCAATCCATTCCGATCCTTGGGATACAGTTTCAACCCCAATTTCATGCTTCTTAGTCAATAAATCAGCCAAATTCATAGAGCTATCAATGTGCCAAAGTGGGTTTTCTTTCGATCCAGTTGTCCATTCAAACAATCTTAGTATCGTCATTACCCTATTGTATACAAATAACCTCAACTTTATGGATTGATTACTAAACCAACTTAACGCTATTGTGGAATCTGTCACGTAGATAACCTCCCCTATCTCCAAACCTAGGGCCGCCTTGACCATAAATGCCAGCTCTGCACATAACAAGATTGCAGATAATTCATTTCTTGGTATGGTTTCTTTCATCATCTTAGATTTCGCGGCCAATAATGAACATGACCAGATCCCAGGACTAAGCTCTCTGCCTGCATAAACCGCTGCCCCTCCAGCCAATTCGGCAGCATCTGCTAAACATAACAACCTGATCTTTGATGATGACTTGCCTGGACCAGGTAGACAAAATCTTGATATCGTGATATCTGGTAACTTTATATAGCCTTTCAGAACTTCTCTCCATTGGTTCTGATCCTGCTCCGGTAGCACTTCATCCCACTCCTTTCCCTTGAGAGAACCTGTTAACAATTTCATTTGCAATTTCACAGGTTCAAAGAAGCCACAGGGATCAAAGAACTCTGAGATTTTACCAACTATCATACTCCGGGTTAGCTGTACACCAGACAAGAGTCTCTCAGCATCAAGGGTTGTCTTTACAGGTTCCAGGTTAGGTTTCCTTTCTCCTCTAACCTTTTTATTCAGATTTAGCTCGCCCAGACCAGGTGATAACTCATCCTTCTCCGGGTCCCACTTGTAACCAAGTAGTTTCATGCTTTCTCCGTCAGAACTTGCTTTATCAGATGGTTTCTCTCCATTCCTCACTATAAACTTAAGAGCAAAACCCCCTTGTTTCAACACTTCTTGGACTGCATTAATTTGAACTTCTCTCAGCTCCTTTGTCTTAGCTCCTGATAACACATCATCCACATATCTGTTCTCTCTTAAGGTTTTATACGCTTCCGGGAATTTTTCAGCCATCATCTCAGTAAGTTTGTCCAGTGCAAATCCTGCTTGGCCCCCCGTGCTCACTATTCCGTACCAAGCTCTTACCATAACCCAGATATCAGGTTTTTTTATCCTGGTCCAACTCGTCACCATACAAAAATAAGGAATATGGCAGTGACGGGTCATCCATGATCAGCTGGTTATATAATTTACTAATATCCGAGCTCCATATATACTCCGTACATCTACACCTTATCATTATGGTAAATATCAAACCTATACGGTTTTCCCCTTTAGCCAAAATCTCATTAAACTTAGTCATAGTCGGATCCACGACCATGCGCACCGGTGTTGTCATGGAGTCCATCTTCATCACCAGTCTCCAAGGATTGAAATGCTGGAAAGGTGCATTTTCAATCAACCTCTTCTTGTCGGGTTCCATGTTGGTTAACTTTACCATAAATCCTTTCTCTACCAAATCCCTATGAACCACTCTCATGCCTTCCTTTACCAGACCAGGTTTCCTGCACTGTGTTTTATAAACCTTTAGAGCCTGAAGATAATTGTTTTGACCACCATGTACCTTGGATAAGAATTCCACTGGATCTTTTAGAAATGGATAATTTACAAACACTCTTTTTTCCTTCAGATCAATCCTTACACTCTCTTCAATAAATTGCTGCTCTCTTGCTTCTCTTAAAGATATTGCAGTCTTCTTGCTGGATGTCTTGCATGTCAGGATTTTGCACACTCCGCACATCGGAACCCGGCCTTGTCCTCTGCGTCTTCATCATCCAGAGCATTCCTAAACTTAGCAATTGGAACATGAGCTTTATGGACTCCATAATGACTATTCTCGTCCACTCCTTCCTTCTCTGACTCCGCCCCTGCCTCATCAATCAGAGCATTGGGATCATGGCGTTCCAGAGTACAATGCTCTATGCCGAAATCACACAATTTCTCTTCATGAGCAATGAAAGCCGAGATAGAATTCCTTAGAGGCATCCTTTCAACATCAGTAAGGCAATCATCCTGTTCATCCGGACCATTAAGATCACCCCTATTAAGAGATAAGCACTTCTTGGGATCATCGCTCAAATCTTTATCATGGCAAACATCCAGTTTCAACTCCCCTTTTCTGGGATCATTGATCTCTACCTCTAGATTCAGTACAGTCGTCTCCTCATCCTTCCTATCAACCTCCCTGACCTCATTCTGAGCATTGGGATCGCCCTCAGGAGCATGATCCTTGAAAGGGCTGAGATAAACTGAAACTCCTGACGGTAGAATTTTGATCAGTACAGGGTCCAAACTGGTGTTTTTTAATCCTAACAAAAGATGTACCCTTGATCCTCCGACCTTAGGTGGGAGAATCACATCCTTCTCTTCAGCTCTGGCTTGATCTCGATATTCATTGCATATCTCTGATAAATCATAAGACCCAAATCCCGCCGTGACATCATCCATGCCTACACAAACTACCTCGTGGAACTCTCCCTTATCTCCAGGTCCTAAATTAAACCTGAATGTTCCATGGTTGGACCTAACTCTGTTCCCTCCTACTACTGTTAAACTGGTTGGACTGCTTGAAACCTTCTGCAATCCTTCCCTCTCAGCTAGCGAACCATCTATGATGTGTATGTTTGCACCACGATCAAAAAAAATCAGAGCCTCAGAATCTCCAATTTTTACAGTTTGCACTAAATAGCAGGAATGCTCTGAAATCTCAGGGACAATAAGCTCTGGCGATACCTGGATACTCTTCCCAGTTTCAGAGTCTATGGATGGCGCAGGTTTATCCGCAAATTCCTCTTGAACCCATCCCAATGCATTGGCTCCAGGGTTCAGTGAAAATACTTGATAAGTGTAATTCGCAGCAAACTTGATGGAAGAATCAATGACTGTAGTTCCAAGTTTTCCCAAATAACTCTCCAGGTCCTTTCTCATATCCTGGAATGGGGCTCTGAGACTAGCATGCTCCCTCTTCCGGCAAAATAAAATATTGAGGGGAGCCAATTGATTTGCCTTAGCCCACGGTGCACAACCCTGGCACTTCAATGTTTCAGGGATTTTAGTTTCCAAACCACATCTCTTGGAGCTACACTGATCCTTGGGTTTGATGCAGGTATAACAAATCTTCCCTTTCTCCATTTTGCCCCACCTCTCCACAGGATTGAGTGCAAAAAAATCTGCACATGTTGACACTTCATGTTGATGGTTTCTGATTGGGCAAGGGAATTTCAAACCAGCTTGATACCATTTGGAGTTGTGAAATGAGGTTGCAAACGCTGTACCTTCTCTTTCCTCATCAGGCAGTTTGTCTTCCCCAGCTTTGTGAACTGACCTAGGTTTATTCGCTCTAGGGGATCTTGGAGAACGTGGTTTCACATCGTTAACTGGTTTCTCCAAATCCCTGGATCCTTCACTCTTATTTCTCTCGATGATACACAAATTCTTGAATACCTTATACGCTTCAATACCTACAGGATTTTTATAGTCCAGCCCTGCTCTCGTCATCTCTGTAATCCAGTCTGCATGAACATGGTTAGGTAAAACTAAAGACAAACTAGTTAAGGTAGCCCTCGAATATAAACAAGTTTCCAATTCAGCCTTATTTATCCCCCTAACCTTCGCTAATCTCTCTAGCCTCTGTATTGCACCAGATATGTACGCATAAAAACTGAACGTAGCTCCACTATTACTATTACTCGGTTTTGGTTTACGACTCAAATCTCTCAAGATATCACTTACTATTCTTGATGCTCCGCCATAATTAATTATTAGCCATGACTTCATCTCAGCATACGAATCTGACATATTAATTAATTTACTCTTTATCTCCTCTGACAAATGATGATTGTATAACCGATTTGCCTTTTGGACCGAGTTACCCCAACCTAAATATGCAATCTCAGCCGACTCCAGAAACTCATACACAGTTACTTTAGCATTATCAGAAAACACTCCAACATCAGACGCATCTCCTTTCGCAGTATTAATGCTGTGGACTTCAGCCTTGTTGTACAATTCTTCTACTTTCAAGCACCAGTTCTCAGCAGAATCCAATAGCTCATTTATTACTTCACAGTACTCAGGGTCTATCCCAGAGAACTTCACATATTTTTGCAGTGATTTTTGCATACTTCCAACAGCTACATGTACAGCAGGCACATCAACCGTTTTGAATTTCTTTATGAGGGATATATCCATCCCAGTGGTTTCAAGATCATTTAGAATTATTTGCCTCAACTGCTTCTCTGTTCTTTCAATCCCCTTTCTCACAATCTCCCTCTCTCTTCTATTTGTTTCTGTATCATCACCACGTCTTACGGTAGAATTAGATTCAGCAGCATTCATTGAAGCATCAACAACTTGATCAGATAAATCTGCCATTACAGTCCTTAAACCTTCTGTAGTATACCGAGTCTGATCCAAAGAATCCCTAATCTCCTCAATCTCTGTCCTCATCCCCTCCACTACTATTCCAGGGGAACTATTATTTATCACCTCCCTTAAAGTATTGATGAGCTCCTCAGGTACCTCGGAACTCGGTGTTCTAGTAGAAATCTCCACAAACCAGTCCTGAACCTTCAGCATATTCTGCTCTACTGTAGTTTCAAGTCTGATAAGTTTGCCTTCAAATCTCTCCAGTCCCTGCTCAGTTCTATCTACTCTCAGAGATATATTATTTACATTGCAGCTCAGTAAGTTTAACTCTTCTTGGACCCCTTTTAGCACGTGTTCTCTAGCCTGGATACCCTGGATGATCCGCAGTACTTCCTCTATCCTCTCCTCCATGACAAGTTGTTTGGATGTAATTGATTGCATCCAAGATTCTGTCCCCGCATGAGGTTCATTGATCCTGGCTAGTCTATGATCATTACCTCCCAGTTGTGACTGACTGGCCGATGTTGGAAGGCTAGCGGGATCGGGAGCCATTTCCATGGACCCTGATCCACTCACTACTCCTGAATTTTCCCTCCTTTCTCCGTCTCTGATCGCTCCACTCATTCCTCGATCAAATTCACTTGAATTTACTTCACTACAGGGGCTCTTTGATCTGGCGGGTTCAGAATTCATTCTCACAAATTCTTGACCACGGGCCATTATCATGTTATCATCTAGATTAGTACCTAAAAACTCCTCTCTCCTTGTACGTGGTGTAGAAGATGCAGTTCTTCCTAACGAGATAGGATCATCTTGGAACACATGATCTTGATTCAGACTTCTTGTCATCAACGGTGGACGGGAGTAGGGATCGGTCTCCTGATCCAGACTGTACGGGTCTGGTAGAACCCGTGCCTCAGTTAGCTGCCTCGCAACCCTACGGACTGTATTCAATTTATCCCTCAAACTCTCATATTCTGCAACCAAATTAAAATCCCCTCTGGTTAACATGGCTTCATTAATCCTACGCTCAATCTCAATATAAAATCCCTTATATTGCCCATTAATAGCAGCTACAGATTGTGCAGAAGTACTAGAAATCTGGCCCCACTCAAATATCTCATCTCTAATTTGGATAAAATTGTCTCTTAATCTTTTATCAATAGTATTAGCCCCCCCTCTAGATCTAGTACGAGGTCTAGGTTCAAAACGTGTCCCCCTATTACTCCAATAGTTATCATCTATGAACCCTGTAGTATTGATCTGTGGTGTGGACATGCATCTATCTGTATTGAATCTATTCGTTGGACGTACTTCAGGCAAATTCAGAGTGCTGCTTAACGGATCCCCTTCCCCTAATGATGTAGATCTTCTTCGGCGCACCCCTGCCATTCTTAGTAGAACTGATAATTACTCAAGAACCAATTCACAGGTTTAATATCATACCCCAAAAGATTCCCCTACTATTCCGCTACTTCTTATAATCTTTCCATGAATTAATCTGGCAGATATAAAAAGATCAAGGATAGAAATAGATCCAAATCTCAGCTTTATTTTATCAATTAGAGAAAGGTTGAGCCATTTTTAAATATAATGATCTTGTCTTGAACTTTAATTGGTACCTCCGCTACTTTTTATAATCTTTCCAAGTATGAATTTGGCAGACATAAAAGGATCAAGGAGGAAATTCAATCTCAAATCTCAATTTATCCAAAGAAAAGGCTGACCGACCCCTCTAAAGATAATGACCTCAAATCTCAATGAGTTTATTGATATCTCTGCTACCTTTTATAATCTTTCCAGATATTAACCTGGCAGACATAAAAGGATCAAGGAGAAAATTAAATCTCAATTTATCAAAAGAAAAGGTTGACCGACCTCTCTAAAGATAATGACCTCAAATCTCAATGACCTTTATTGGACCCTCCGCTACTCTTTATAATCTTTCCAGATATTAACCTGGCAGATATAAAAAGATCAAGGAGGAAATTCAATCTCAATCTCAATTTACCAAAAGAAAGGGTTGACCGACCCCTCTAAAGATAATGACCTCAAATCTCAGTGAGTTTATTGATATCTCTGCTACCTTTTATTATCTCTCCAGATATTAATCTGGCAGACATAAAAGGATCAAGGAGAAAATTAAACCTCAAATCTCAATTTATCAAAAGAAAAGTTTGACCGACCTTCTAAAGATAATGACCTCAAATCTTAATGACCTTTATTGGACCCTCCGCTACTTTCTATAGTCTTTCCGAATATTAATCTGGCAGACATAAAAAGATCAAGGAGGGAATTCAATCTCAAATCTCAATGAACTTATTGTTATCTCCGCTACCCTTTATAATCTTTCTGGATATTAATCCAGCAGACATAAAAGGATCAAGGAGTAAAGTTCGGGCCTCAAATCCTCATTACTCTTTGTAATCTTTCCGAATATAGATTTGGTAGATACAAGGAGATTTCAGAGGATAAATCTCAAATTTTAGAATATCTCAAAAAAAGGTAAACGACCCCTCTGAGGAAATTCCTGTTGAATGTTACGCGACTACGCGCTATATATGTAAAAAGAACCTTGTGTTATTTTGCGATGGTTTGTCGTAATTTTCGTCTGCTCTCCTCATGATGAACAATCAATGTAGAACTCAGGATTTATTCATACTTCAGGAAAATTCAACTAAAAACATAATCTTAAGTTCTTTGTATTTTACTACAGGAAAAAGCCCAAAATGTACAGTCAGAGAATAAATATAATCAATACAAAAAACGATCTCAATAGGGCATAAAAAACCTGTAGATTTTAACGTATTCTAAATAATCTTAATAAATATATCGTAAAAAAAAAAGAAAATCATACCAGGTTGAGCCTCCACAAAATATCACAAAAGATCAAAAATACTGGCAAATGATGCCATGAAAATCAAACTATTAACTGCGCGTGGTATGACTAAAGTGTACAGAGTATATAAACACAACTAAAAAAACTAGTTTCGTCCGACTTTCTTCTTCGCCCGGTCTTGAATACACAGTACGAATCTCAGGGAATAAATAAAATCATAATTTTATAAATAAATTCATAATACATAAATAAATTCATAATTCATGAATAAATTCATAATTAATAAATAAATTCAGAATTCATAAATACATTCAGAATTCATAATGAATTCACAATTCATAAATAAATTCATAATTCATAAATAAACTCATAATTCATAAATAAAATCATAGTTTATAAATAAATTCAGAAATTATGAACAAAATTCAGAATTCATACATAAATTCCTAATTCATAAGTAAATTCATAATTCATAAATAAATTTATAACTCAAAAATAAATTGATTCTACTTGTTGGCTTCTTTAGTTCTTATGCTTTAAGTTTTTGTGTCAAATGTCCGAATTTAATGAATTTGAGCTATGGCTTTAATCTGCCAAAAAATGGTTAAACTTCTTTTTAAGATCTAGATATTTATTATCTCCGTATCGAGATTATATTAAGGTTACAAAATTGTTTATATTGTTTTTACAAAAAACTTTTTTACGATAGTGGCATGTACATACATTTGTAAATTAATCAAGAAAAAAATCTATTAGTTAACGGATACATTTCTTCATTTTTTCTTTCCAAAATTAATGTTACATTCTTATTCTTAGAAGATATAGAAAAAAAGATTTTTCTGGAACTTTTAAAACGTGGAATTTTTAGAAATGTAAAGAAAGGATGTCTCTTTTTTATAGTTAGATTTATGAAATTTAAAGAACATCATTATCTATTTAAGTATTGACGAAACAGAAGTTCGAGAGAAAAAACTACATGTGTTACGCGACTACGCTATATATGTAAAAAGAACCTTGTGGTATTTTGCGATGGTTTGTCGTAACTTTCGTCTGCTCTCTTCATGATGAACAATCAACGTAGAACTCAGGATTTTATTCATACAGCAGGAAAATTCAACTAAAAACATAATCTTAAGTTCCTTTATATTTTACTACAGGAAAAAGCCCTCATAATAAAGCAAAATGTACAATCAGACAATAAATATAATCAATACACAAAACGAACTCAATAGGGCATAAAAAACCTGTAGATTTTAATGTATTCTAAATAATTTTAATAAATGTATCGTAAAAAAGAAAATCATACCAGGTTGAGCCTCCACAAAATATCACAAAAGACCAAAAAATACTGGCAAATGACGCCATGAAAATCAAACAACCAACTGGTCTAAAATCCGCCTGGTATGAACTAAAGTGTACAGAGAATATAAACACAACTAAAAAACTAGTTTCGTCCGACTTTCTTCTTAGGCCGGTCTTGAATACACAGTACGCTTCTCAGGGGCGCTGCAGCAGTATGAGGGAACATTACGTCAGGGGTGAACCATCCTCTCTCTATATACGAGACCCTTGGTCGCGTAACAACATGATATATAATAAGATAGCATACTTGTATGCAATTTAGAAATACGACAGACGCAGCATGTCTTATCGATTATACGAATAACTTTTGTGCATGTTTTCACATAAACATGCATGGGAGCGAGTTTTTTTATATTAAAATATACTGATGTTAGCTTCATAACGAGAAACATTGATGGTTCCTCGTTACTATTGAGGCTACATAATATAAGATGGTGGAAAATAAAAACATTATATTTTAGAATTATAGGTGTTAGCCTCAAAACAAGGAATATTGATGGTTCCTTGTTAATATCAAGGCTATATAAACTAGGATAGTGGAAAAGAACAAGATTTCGGTCTCTTAATGTTCATCATATCTTGTTTAGTCGCGGTTCCTTGGGCGTTTCATTGTTGCGGTGGAGTTTGCCTTAGTTGTCCGCTGGTTCAGGAGACTGAATTAGTAAAAAGAACCGTTAGTTTGTTTAAACGTTTGGTAATACTTATATTGTATCGAAGAATATCAGATTTTAGATCATAGAGTCTGTATTTAGTATTGGATTATAAAAAAGTATTTATAATTTATTCAAAAAGTTCGGATTGGATAAATAAGAACTTTGTAAGGAATTAAGAATATAGAGGACTTAATTTTGCGAATTTTCTTTTATTTTTTAGAAGCAGAGAAATTCAACTACTGAGTTAAAGAATTAAACTAAAAATTTAAATTAAGGTAAGGATCCAAGTTTTGAGAGTCGGAAAAAGATTAGTTTTTTTAGGATAATCTTCATAAATAGGTTTCGAGGATCGGAACTGACAAGCCATCTTGGTTCGATTTAAAGATAGAGCTCAAAAATAGGCATTTGAAAATGTATACAAGGAAAGGTTATAAGTTAGACATAGTGGACCACATTGCAATTTAGTACACTGGATGGTCTTTAATTTTTATTTAGATTGAACCTTTGCAGTCCTATGTGATCCCTGTTCACGACATTCACCCTCTATATAAAATAAATATAATTTTCAATAAATTAGAATAAGTTCCGCCAAGCTCTGCCAGATCCCATGAAAATCTATTATTACCGTTATAATTTCGCAGAAGGTTTCCTCTCCGAGATAAGTCAGTCATTCCGCTAGCGCTCCGGGTTCAGTTTGTACTAAATAATGTAAAAAACACTAATTAATATCATTTTTCAGGACGGAAGAGTTTTAATGACAAATCGGTAATCCGAGAGGAATCATGGTATTTTTAGAGTAGAGTTTTAATAGTTCGAACAGTGGATAGATTAAAAAAATATAATATAGAAGTCTAGAAGAGAATTTGTGAGAGGAATCTTTATTCTTGCGACTTGTTTCAAGGCTTTATAAACTATTTTTGAAGTACACAAGAAGAAACCAATATATAGATTTTATTCCATTTAGTAGAGTTAAATATAATTTGCAAGTGTACTTGTGTTGACTTTAAAAGTCACTATAATAAAATAAAGAGATCTAAAATGGATATTTCTAACATTTATTATAAAAAAAGCAGACCGTCATGTGGTATTATTTCACCAGAGAGCTAAACTTTTGTTAGACCTTTGTAATCTTACATGTTCTCAGTTCCATATATCCACCTTTGTTATATAAAAAGAAATAATTAAATTAATTTATAAATTTGAGTTAGTTCCCTCCAGGAAATTCTATTATTACCGTTATATTTACGCTGAAAAGGTTCCTCTCCTAGATTGGTCAATCTGGAAGATTTTCGCTCCTTTCTCGGGTTCAGCGTTATTAGTCAGTTTTATCGATGGAGTATAGGAGGTATTTCTTCATGCAACTCCAACTGACTCCAGATAACTCCAGTAAAAACCAGGATCTTGTGGATTTCTCGTCCGACTAGTTTTGGAAAAGAAAGATGAAATTCAGGGAAATATCTTCGAAAACAGGTCAAATATGGAACGAGAAAAAATACTTTTTTTTCATGAGTTTAAAAAGTGTTTTTCAGATAAGTCATAAAAATTAGAATTTACGGGACTAATTTTAATAATTTTTTAACCAATAGGCTAATTTAGTTAAATCTTGAGGTTAGATCCGCAATTTTAAATTGAAATCAATTAATCAAAAATTTGTTTTTTTATTATGATTCGCAGTATTTTTAAATAAATCTTATCCATTCCATTAACAGAAAAGCTAGATTATTAGTTTTGAAAATGATGGAAAAAGTGATATTTTTCCTTGTCCTATCTTCTCTCGTATCCACCTGGTTCAGTTTTCCATTTGGAAAAAAATTTTTACCATTATTAGTCAGATTTATCGATGAAGTTTATAACGTGTTTCTTCGTGCAACTCCACATGTGTCCAGATAACTCGAATAACATCAGGATCTCGTGGGTTTCTCGTCCAACTAGTTTTAAAAAAGAAAGAATAATAAAAGTCATGGTCATGGAAATCTCTACGAAATACTGGCAAATTTGAGACGAGAAAAAAATACTTTAAAAATGCTTTTTTTTAACGAGTTTGAAAATTTAAAAAGTGAACATAGACTTTCATTTTCACAGGAAGATAAAAAGAGAGAAAAATTATCTTAATTATCGAAAGCTAGATGATCTACCTATTTCTGATCAGGTTTAAAAGATAAAGTTTAAAATGTTATGCATGACAAAAAGAATTTTTTTTTAAAAAAGGTTTTTTTTAAAAATCATTTTATATTTTACCCGAAAAGAATATTTTGCCCGAAAAGTAAGTACATATATCCGATCATAACTCGGGAACCCATTTAAAGATTTGCTTCCAAATATATATCAGATCATAACTCCGGAACCCATTTAAAGATTTGCTTTCAAATATATATCAGATCATAACTCTGGAACCCAATTAAAGGTTTGCTTCCAAATAAATTGTTAAACTTCTGCAACATACGAGAGAATGTAAGTTGTTTAATCGTTCTCGTGTGAAAATCTAACTTGACAGCCATATTTTGCAAAGAAATCAATTTCTCTGAAAAGTTTAAATTGAATTCAGGGAAAAGTAAAACGTTTAAGATTTCTAATTTTGTTTTAGAAAATCAATAATATTTCAAAAGTGATTTTCACAGTATGTGACAAAAATAAAAAAAATTGAGAGAATTTTTGTATTTTTAGAGCGAGAACAAGACTTATACTATCTCCTGTCAAACATGGTCTAAAGAATAAAAAAGATGTTGTGTAGTAAAAAAAAACAAATTACATTATTAAAAAACAGAGTAAGGGGTCTATCATTAACATCATTAACATCATTATCATCATTAACATCAGTATCATCATTATCATTATTATCATCATTATTATTAGCATTATTATTACATTATTAGTAGTAAATTGGGGTATTTTAGGGGGTCATGATGG